ACAATCATGGAAACGATGATCACAACGATGGTTATTGCTCCATTTGCATCCCGGGTGCAAACTCAAGACATGAAGGAGATCCCGATTAGCCTCGTGAGACCATCCTGATTAGGTTAGATCCCGATAGAGCCTGAAGATCTCCTACTGTTTTCAGTAACTTTTTCAGAAATATTTTATACAATTATTTTGCACTCATGTTTTTTATTTGATTTTTTTATTTTTTTTATTTAACCTTTATTTAACCAGGAAAGTCCCATTGAGGTTAAAAACCTCTTTTTCAAGAGTTCTTTGTTGTTGTTTTTACTTTTGCTGCTGTATTATACTCTAATAATGTTTGTAAATAAATATCTTATGAAATTTGTTTTGACGGAGATGGTTGGTTGTTTTAATTTTTCAATTCCTCAGAAAGTGCTGTGATTGGTGGGAGGTTTAAACACCAGGGTGAAGGGGGCGTGGCCAGTGGAAATCACCCATGGGTGGAAATAGGAAATAAATCCTAGAGGACACACTGCATTTATGTGCCATCGCTGAGTATTTTCTCCTTAATACTGCTGTGAACCAAAGACAGTCTCAAACACACGCTTAAAAATCACTGTTTTTTTCTTACGTCACAAACTGCCGTAACCAGGGTTTAACTGGGTAACAGGGTGAAACTGTCATACTCATGAATTATCATAATATATTAAATAAAGCGTATTGCGCAGAATCTTCTTGAATATAAACATCACTACACAACAAATAACGGCGCGCTTGTTCATTTGCATTGAAGCAAAAGTGAAAATTAAAAAGCATTTGGTGAACAGAAAAGACATTATGTTCAAACATCCTAAATTTTTTATGTTCTTTGTGCTGTATTGATCTGTCCAACTAAAACACATTTTTGGTGATGAGGATGAAAGAGGAAGAGAGGAGATGCTGGATGACTGGATTTTGTTTGATGACAGGAAGTTATTTGGAAATTTCTGGGGGAAAAAACAAGCGTTCCTTATAAATACCTTTGCTTTGTACTTGAATGGCATTAGTTAGTCTTGAATGCATAATGAGGGTTAAATCTTGAACACCAATGGTGAAATCAGAAGAAAGAAAAGTGAGTAAATAGCTTTGAATGCTGGCATGGCATTACATAAAAGAATCTGAATCTGAAAGAATCTGAAAAGTGAGTAATTTGGACTCTTGTATATTCAAAACTCGTCCGTTCTTTGGATGAGATGTTAGAAGATGAGATGACTTTCTGTAGACATAAAAAAACATTGCGCTTCTTATAAAGAGTAGGGGTGTATGCCTACTCATTAACATTGTCTTCTAATAATCCGTCTACTGAATCTCTCTTTCTCTCTCTCCACAAAGGTCACAGGTTTGAATCTCAGTACTGGCAGGAACTGTGGGTGGGGGGAAAGTGAATGAATATTAATAATGGTCTTTTCCACAGTAACGTCACACGACTGAGGTGTCATTGAGCAAGACCAAAAACCGTATCGCTTCCCGGACGCCGCAGGCGAAAATTGCTCTCCATGAAATGGTTGAAATCCAGAGCACGGTTTCTGAGAATGGGACGCCATTGGCTACACGTCACTTTCACTCGTCACTTTTGCCACACACGTCACTTTCACTTGTTTTGTGGCAGCCATCAGTTATTTAGGAGTACAGTAGCACATAGTAAAGCACTATATAATCTTTATTACCAAGTATGTTTACACACACACACACACACACACACACACACACACACACACAAGGACATGGTTTGGGTGACAGAAGAAGCTTCTTTTGTATTAGTATGAATGAATGAATGAGGCATTTATATAGCGCTTTCATATGTACTACTGTACACCCAAAGCGCTTTACAATCATATCAGGGGTTCTCTCCTCAACCAGCACCAGTGTGAGCATCCACTTGGATGATGCGACGGCAGCCACAGTACAACGGCGCCAGCGCGCTCACCACACACCAGCTATAGTTGGAGAGGAGAGAGAGTGATAGAGCCAATTCATTAGTACACTTGAATAAACGTATTTTTCGTAAGTCTAGAGGAGTGTTGGGATGATGTTGAACGCTGAACTGAGGTCCACACATGAGTCCCTGGTGTGTCCAGATGTTGAAGGATATAATGCAGTGTCATGTAGACAGCATCATCCACAGACCGGTTTACTCTGAATGCAAACTGCAGGGGGTCCAGTGATGTTCTTCAGGCCAGCACCAGTCTCTCAAATGACTTCAGGACCACAGATGTTAAGCCAACAGGTCTTTAGTCATTCAGTTCTGTGATTTTTTTTGTTGTTTTTTTTGGATGGGGATTTATGTGGAGTGTTTGAAGCAGGAATGAACTTCGCACAGCTCCAGTGATCTTAAGTTACATCTTAGCCTAGTTTTGACGTTAATGGGCACTAAGATACAACTTACACACTACTAAATATTTTTACGTTGCACCATTAAACTTAGTTGAAGCTTAACTAAAAACTAAATATTTACAGAAGCCTCCGAGCAGGGGCCTATAACATTAAGCCGGTTTAGGGGATAGCCAGATATGTTTCAGTTTAGTTTGCAGGGTTTTAGGCACCATGAAAGTGGTTTGGCTTTTAGCAGTGTTCATCGCCATAACTCTCACTCCACGGCTAACCTGGCCCGGGTCAGGTGATGCTCCAGGTGAGAGGTTGCAAACCGAACTTGGACCAATCAGCTGTGAGAAAAGTGTCACATGTCTAATGCAATAAAGTCACTCCACCTGTTTCCACTCCAAATTAAATGTCACTACACAGCAAATGATTTTAAAGGACAAAATTGTCAGGCCTTTAGTAACGCTTATTAAGAATAATTATTTTGTATGATTCAGATATTATGTAGGCTAATTATTAATCAATCACACGTACTATTCCAGTTGATCAATTATTATTGCACACAGTTTAAAGGAATAAATATATAAAGGTAATATAAATACGCTTTAGAATCAATAGATAAAGCTATAAAATGACAACAGTAGGCCTACATGTGAGCTTGAATGAATGAATGAAGAAATTAATATTATATTGATATGTCTTATAGTGGCTATAGTATAGTAGTAGCCTATACTTATAGCCTATGAAAGAATTATGCTAATTTTAAACCTCAAGAAAATTAAAATGATTAAGAAGAAAAATCACACCTACCCCTTTGCTCTGTGACCGGGGGGCAACATTTGGTGCTACGCCCCTGAGGAGGAGCATCACATTTTATTCTTCACAAAAATAGTCTCTTCTGATTCAGTCTCTTCAGATCAGATGCATTTTGGGCGATCGGATCATTACACGAGGGAGACTAATCCCGTTTACACCTGGTGTTTTAATCTGTCTTTTATACACTTTCAACTACCGTCCTGATTTCTTCAAGGGGAGAGTCTATGGGTGAGTAAAAATATGTTTTTTTTTACAGATTTTCGATCTAATGGACGAAATTATCCCGTGATCATACATGAACGCGTCAGAAAAACAAAGCTTTCGTTTGTGCTGAGCCTCTGACAGAGTTTAAATCCCGTCTGTGTGGCTGTGATACTGATATAGCCTAGCTATATATTTCTTCTTTTTTTTCAGATGTGTGCGAACTGTCAAATGTATTTAGCACGTGTGCGAATAAAAAAAATCAGAATATAAGTTTTCTTAAATTTAAGGTAGGCCTAATAAAAAGTCTTCAATGGGCCTAATAGGGTGAATTAAGGATGATTGGGACATAAGGTCGCAGTGGGACACCGTAGTAAAGATAGTTTGCGGTTTGATATTCAGATTTCCTTTCGCTCTTGTCCTGTAGTGCGCTGTCGTAGACATGCAAGTAATATCTTTTGGTGTTTTTCATGATTTGTGAATTCAGGTGACGCGGTCCTCCGTGTTTTTAATAAAAATCTGTGTTTTTTATACTGGATTTTATTTGTAGCCTATAATGCGTATAGTTCCAAAAGTCGTTTACTTAGAAGACTGAACCCAGTTTCATCTTGACCTGCTTGATTTGTGAATTTTTTCACAGCAAAGCTCTTGTCCGTAAACCGGTAAAACCACTAGACAGGAATGTGTAATGCTTCTAAAATTCGAAATGATTGATCGTGTTGTGTTGTTGTTGTTGTTGTGAGAGATTTTTTGGTAACACTTTACAATACGGGTGCACTAATATGCATTAATTCATGTTTAACTAATGCACAGATAATCATGAGTTAATGTATGACTCATGAAGAACTAAACCATTAATTAATTATTACTGCATCAGCAACTAATAAAGAGTCTATATGATTAATAGATTAAGTAATACATGAATTGCTATTAATTCAATGCGTCATTGTGTATTAATTCCTTAATAACATATTTTATTAACTAATAGTGTAAATTAATGTGTTAATTACCACAATTAGTCAAAGCTATGCACTTCAACTTCCAGTTGTCTGCTTTAATTAATCATTAGCTAATGAATTGCAAAGGTATCATTATGTTATGACTTTACTTGTTGAGGCACATCATTATTAACTAGTCATTTAGTAATTGTAGTAATTTACACATGAATTTGCACTAACAATGAAGTAATTAATCATGTATTAATGCATATTAGTGTACCTGTCTTATCTGGAAGTTGAAATACATGGCTTTGGCTCATTCTGGAAAATTAACATTAATTAACACTATTAGTTAAAAAAATGAGTTATTAGGGAATTAATCCACAATTACATATTTAATTAATAACAATGCATGTATGAACTAATACATTAACCATACAGACTCTTAATTAGTTCCTAATGTGGTAATCATTAGCTTAGATAATCATTAGTTACACATTAATTCAGTATTATCTGTGCATTAAGCATAAATTAATGTTTATTAGTGCACCCGTATTGTAAAGTGTTACCGATTTTTTTTTACAACTCCATGTTATTGTATATTTGTGATTTGTATTCACAGAAATAAGTCTTTGAATTTGGAGCAGAAGTACAGAAGTGGGATCTATCATAGGGCGACACTACAGAGTCAGTCAGGGAAGAAGAAAGGACAAATGTTCCTCCAGGACAGATCCACGGAGAGAGGGAAGATGCTCCAGTGGTGGGTCCCTTTCAACTCTCTGTGATCATATTCTGTGTGTAAATCATGAGAAACTGCACACTGTTGTAGTGAAGGCTTGAGTTGTTACAGTTTTTTTTTTTATTCGCTTTAGGCTATTTTCAAAAGTGAGGTAAACATTTTCAAAACCCTTAGTGCAAAAATCCAAACTGATCACACCTGTAACACAGATATAGTCATTCTTTCAAAACCTGTTCTTTTGCTTTCATTACAGTTATACACATTTCAGTCCACATAATCATTGTTTCAACACAAGATTATTGTAATATTTAATGAGAAAACTGCACTAAAATTAAACTGAGAGGGGTTATAGCACTTACGTATTGTTGTCCTACTGTTAGTTTAACTCCTTCTATTGTTCTCATTTGTAAGTCGCTTTGGACAAAAGCGTCTGCTAAATGAATAAATGTAAATGTAAATGAGAACATTTGGTTTAATCAACAGTATAATCTACCTGAACGATAAGGTACAGCTTAAGGTATAACTTAAGAACGATGTAGCGTTAAAAAGGTTTTGTGATATCCAGCCCAGATCTGTAGCTGAGATCTATGAGTAACTGTTGGCCTCTTGGAGTGAATATAATAATTGGTTTTAATTAAAAAATCAAGGAGTGACATTACAAGCGTCCACCTCAGTTCATATTTATCTGCAGAACTTCTAAAGTACTTTTATTTCCAAAGATGATGTTCAGTAAGACGTTTGTGCATGTGGTGAGAGAAGCCTTAAAGGGTTAGTTCACTCAAAAATGAAAATGATGTCATTAATGACTCTCCCTCATGTCGGTCCAAGCCCGTCAGACCTCCGTTCATCTTCAGAACACAGTTTAAGATATTTTAGATTTAGTCCGAGAGCTTTCTGTCCCTCCATTGTAAATGTGTGTACGGTATACTGTCCTTGTCCAGAAAGGAAATAAAGACATCATCAAAGTAGTCCATGTGACCTCAGTGGGTTAGTTAGAGTGTGTTGAAGCATCGAAAATACATTTTGGTCCAAAAATAACAAAAACTACGACTTTATTCAGCATTGTATTGTGTTCCGGTTCTGTTGTGGATCCGCGTTCAGTGACGCCGCTGACGTAAGACGCTGCTGACGTGTGTCTGGTGTGTGTGTGTGTGTGTATTCTGGTTCTGTTGTGGATCCGCGTTCAGTGCCGCTGCTGACGTAAGACGCTGCTGACGTGTGTCTGGTGTGTGTGTGTGTGTGTGTGTGTGTATTCCGGTTCTGTTGTGGATCCGCGTTCAGTGCCGCCGCTGACGTGTGTCTGGTGTGTGTGTGTGTGTGTGTCTTCTGGTTCTGTTGTGGATCCGCGTTCAGTGCCGCTGCTGACGTAAGACGCTACTGACGTGTGTCTGGTGTGTGTGTGTGTGTGTGTGTATTCCGGTTCTGTTGTGGATCTGCGTTCAGTGCCGCTGCTGACGTAAGACGCTACTGACGTGTGTCTGGTGTGTGTGTGTGTGTGTGTGTGTGTGTGTGTGTATTCCGGTTCTGTTGTGGATCCGCGTTCAGTGCCGCTGCTGACGTAAGACGCCGCTGACGTGTGTCTGGTGTGTGTGTGTGTGTGTGTGTGTGTGTGTGTGTGTATTCCGGTTCTGTTGTGGATCCGCGTTCAGTGCCGCCGCTGACGTAAGACGCTGCTGACGTGTGTCTGGTGTGTGTGTGTGTGTGTGTGTGTGTGTATTCTGGTTCTGTTGTGGATCCGCGTTCAGTGCCGCCGCTGACGTAAGACGCTGCTGACGTGTGTCTGGTGTGTGTGTGTGTGTGTGTGTGTGTGTGTGTGTGTATTCCGGTTCTGTTGTGGATCCGCGTTCAGTGCCGCTGCTGACGTAAGACACTGCTGACGTGTGTCTGGTGTGTGTGTGTGTGTGTGTGTGTATTCCGGTTCTGTTGTGGATCCGCGTTCAGTGCCGCCGCTGACGTAAGACACTGCTGACGTGTGTCTGGTGTGTGTGTGTGTGTGTGTGTGTGTGTGTGTATTCTGGTTCTGTTGTGGATCCGCGTTCAGTGACGCCGCTGACGTAAGACACTGCTGACGTGTGTCTGGTGTGTGTGTGTGTGTGTGTGTGTGTGTATTCTGGTTCTGTTGTGGATCTGCGTTCAGTGCCGCCGCTGACGTAAGACGCTGCTGACGTGTGTCTGGTGTGTGTGTGTGTGTGTGTGTGTATTCGGGTTCAAATAAATATGGCTGGGCAAAAAAATGCAAGTTTTCCTCTGTGTGGAAATCCTTAGACATGTTTGCGAGATTGTTTTGTTTCCAGCGTGCGTCTCCCTCAGACTGTAAACGAAGCTCGGGCGCACCAGACACACACACACACACACACACACACACACACACCAGACACACGTCAACAGCGTCTTACGTCACACACACACACACACACACCAGACACACGTCAGCAGCGTTTTACGTCACACACACACACACACCAGACACACGTCAGCAGCGTCTTACGTCAGCGGCGGCACTGAACGCGGATCCACAACAGAACCAGAACACACACACACACACACACACACACACACACACACCAGACACACGTCAGCAGCGTCTTACGTCAGCAGCGGCACTGAACGCGGATCCACAACAGAACCAGAATACACACACACACACACACACACACACACACACCAGACACACATCAGCAGCGTCTTACGTCAGCAGCGGCACTGAACGCGGATCCACAACAGAACCAGAACACACACACACACACACACACACACACACACACCAGACACACACACACACCAGACACACGTCAGCAGCGTCTTACGTCAGCGGCGTCACTGAACGCGGATCCACAACAGAACCAGAACACACACACACACACACACACACACACACCAGACACACGTCAGCAGCGTCTTACGTCAGCGGCGTCACTGAACGCGGATCCACAACAGAACCAGAATACACACACACACACACACACACCAGACACACGTCAGCAGCGTCTTACGTCAGCGGCGGCACTGAACGCGGATCCACAACAGAACCAGAATACACACACACACACCAGACACACATCAGCAGCGTCTTACGTCAGCAGCGGCACTGAACGCGGATCCACAACAGAACCAGAACACACACACACACACACCAGACACACGTCAGCAGCGGCACTGAACGCGGATCCACAACAGAACCAGAATACACACACACACACACACACACACACACCAGACACACGTCAGCAGCGTCTTACGTCAGCAGCGGCACTGAACGCGGATCCACAACAGAACCAGAACACACACACACACACACACACACACACACCAGACACACGTCAGCAGCGTCTTACGTCAGCAGCGGCACTGAACGCGGATCCACAACAGAACCAGAATACACACACACACACACACACACACCAGACACACGTCAGCAGCGTCTTACGTCAGCAGCGGCACTGAACGCGGATCCACAACAGAACCAGAACACACACACACACACACCAGACACACGTCAGCAGCGGCACTGAACGCGGATCCACAACAGAACCAGAATACACACACACACACACACACACACACACCAGACACACGTCAGCAGCGTCTTACGTCAGCAGCGGCACTGAACGCGGATCCACAACAGAACCAGAATACACACACACACACACACACACACACACACACACACCAGACACACGTCAGCAGCGTCTTACGTCAGCAGCGGCACTGAACGCGGATCCACAACAGAACCAGAATACACACACACACACACACACACACACACCAGACACACGTCAGCAGCGTCTTACGTCAGCGGCGGCACTGAACGCGGATCCACAACAGAACCGGAAGACAATACAATGCTGAATAAAGTCCTAGTTTTTGTTATTTTTGGACCAAAATGTATTTTCGATGCTTCAACACACTCTAACTAACCCACTGATGTCACATGGACTACTTTGATGATGTCTTTATTCCCTTTCTGGACAAGGACAGTATACCGGACATACATTTACAGTGGAGGGACAGAAAGCTCTCGGACTAAATTTGAAATATTCATTTTTGGGTGAACTAACCCTTTAATGTGTAATGGGAAGTTGTTCAGTAGTGGTTCACAAAGTGAGGCAAATAAAATAAAAAATAAAGTAAGGGGGCAAATCTTGTACACAATGAAGTTTAAATACGGCACAATGAAGATAAACACAAGGTCCAATGAAGTTTGTGTGCAGCCTCTTCTTATATGGTGTAAAGAAGTGCTGAATAACAGTAAAACAAGAAGTGAATGAGTTTAGTGTTGTGTTGTGGTCTGTGTTTTTACCTTTCAAATAAGCAGTTTTTTTTTTTTTTTTGCTCAAGTGATGCGTTCTGCACAATATTAATTGTTTTAGGGTGATATTTGAGTACCATTTCATTATGTTCTGTGTTAATGTTCATAGACTGCAATACAGTAGTAAGTGAAAAAGAAGTAAAGTGTTGACAATCTTGTGAACGAATCGTCATCTCTCCTTTGTTTATTTCTTTTCATTACGAGTCCCAAACATTACACATATATAACCACCCTGTTTATTTTTAATCAGGTACCTCGTGAGTTTGCTGGCGTTACATTTGTCTGGTGAGTATATGTAATGTAAAGAGAAATTATTTGTAAATTGGATCAGTGACATTAAAAACCACATCAGTATCAATATTGTATAGTGATTCAACAGTGTTTTTATATTTAGGTGCTGCTTCTCTAACTGTCCACGGACCAAAAGATGGCAGTGTTTCCCTGCCTTGTAATTTGAGCGGAGAGAATGTATACGTCCGCTTAACATTTAAATCCAAAGTTGCTTATGGTCGACAACAGCATGAACAATTCAAGGCCCGGGTGATTGAGAGTGGTCATGGTGACCTCATTATTAAAGACTTGGAGACCACTGATGCTGGAAAATACACTTTAAGTACTTATGGCCACGGTGATCCAATTTCCTACAGTTATGAACTCCATGTCATTGGTAAGATCTGAACTGATTTTAAATATAGATTTGGGCTTTTTGTTGCTTTCATTTTAGTATGCATGTTATATCTTCTTTTAATTAGGTTGTTCTGTAAAGCACTTTGGTCAGCCTAGTGGATGTTGTAAATGTTTTATATAAATAACTTGAACGTGAACAGGTTCCGACCAAATCAAGTCAAGTCACATATAGCGCTTTTAACCATGTTGATTGTTTCAAAGCGGCTTTACAGTGATAAGAGGAGATTAAAGTAACAAAGATTGTTTTGGCTTTATGACAGCTCTAGAATAAAGTTATTTTCCAGCTAAAGTTAGTTTTAATTGATTCACTTCCGTCGCAACGATCATTAGTTATTAACTTAGGGGCTGCTAACACGACACCTTTTTAACAGAAAACTCTTAAGTTCTCTCTACGCAAACTTTATAAACGCGAACCTGTGAGAACGCTGATGGCGTGCACATGCGTATTAAGAGTTCATTCTATAGATGTGCGCGTTTGAATATATATGTGCGCAGGCATGTAGTCCTTCCCTAAACAACTTTTCTGGCCTTAAAATGTATAATCCAGAATTTTATCGCTTCCGCGTAGCCACGTGAACCGGAATTATCCCGACAACGATTATCTGTACAGAGGTGAGGGAAGGAGGCCTTCACATGGAGGGACTAGTGACACTTCAGGACTGCGTTAATCCTCGGGATAAACAGAGAGATTTGAGCTCTAAGACTATGTGCCATATTCCTAGAGAGAAGAGTAGCACCATTCCAGGAGGGTTGAATACCATCTCTTATCAACAGGTCAGGCTTGCCCCAAAAACTTTTCCAATTGTCTACGAATTCTATATTATTTTGCGGACACCACTTAGACAACCAGCCATTGAGTGAGGACAGTCTACTAACTATCTCATCACTCCGGCGAACAGGAAGGGGGCCAAAGCAAATTACAGTGCCTGACATTGTACTTGCGAGTTCACACACCTCTTTAACATTAATTTTAGTGATCTCCGACTGGCGAAGTAGAACATCATTAGTGCCGGCGTGAATAATAATCTTAGAGAATTTGCGATTAGCATTAGCCAGCACTTTTAAATTTGCTTTGATGTCAGGCGCTCTGGCTCCCGGCAAACATATGACTATGGTGGCTGGTGTCTCTATTTTCACGTTCCGTGTGATAGAATCGCCAATAACTAGGGCACAATCAACAGGATTCTCAGTGGGTGTTTCGGTGAGTGGGGAGAACCTGTTTAATGTTGTAATTGGAACAGGAGAGCAGTGTTTTGTCCCGCGACTAGACCGTCTCACCGTCACCCAATTACCCTGCTGCATGGGCTCTACTACAGCCGAAACCGAACAATGTACCGTGTTCACTAAGCTAATCGCATCCAAAGCAGTATCTAAAGCCCTTGCACTCTTACTACCCTCGATTAAAGTTTGGAAGCGTGTAGGCTATTTAGTTCTGAAATCTTTTCCGTCAGCCTGACTATCTCCCTGCATTTATTACAATGTAAATCCTATGCTGACAGAAAGGGCTATGCTATACATGTTACAAGAAGTGAAAGTCACAATAAGATGAGAAGATGACATGACTCACCGTGTTTGTTGACTGATTCTACTTACCACAGCTTTGATGGATTTGTAAAAGGAGCGAGCGTGGGAGCTAAATAAATAAATAAATAAATAAAGAGCGCATGGATGGCACGCTAAAAGGCTAAAAGAATTAGTAGCTTGTTGTGATAGCAACGATTTAGATTGAAGCTTGCGATGTCAGGTTAATATGTGATGTTGAGTGAGTTAAATTTAGCAGTATAAACAACAGGGAATGATATAATGATTCAAAACAGAAAGATATACGAAGCTACTGATGCTACACACACAAACCAACAGCAAGGCAGACAGACATCAAAACGTCACAATTATTCTCTCATTTGATTTCTCTTCAGATAACTTAACAGGACGGAAAGGTGAAGAGCTGGTGTTGGGTGATCTGCCACCTGAAGCTGAGAAAGTTGAGCATTGTAATGGCACAGTTCACACAGAGATGTGGAGGAGAGGACAAGATGTCCTGAATGATCGACTGACCGACAGCTATGGTCGTCTGGCCATCAGAGAGTTCAAATCAAGTGATGCTGGGATTTACAGAGTCCTGAACTCGACAGGAGGAGAACTAGTCACTATAAATGTCACAGGTGAGAGAAATTTAATGAATGTTTGGAAATATTGCAGATAAGTGGACAGGTGAGGTCATAATTTGAACAGCAAAGTAATACTAATTAATACTAGAGAAGAGATGCTGAAAGAGGTTATTCTGTTCAAGATTATTAAAACTATAATGATGTGCACTGATAAATCAACATACAAACATAAAATACAATAAAACAAGACTTAAACGCACACACACTGGTCCTACTCCTTCAAAGCGCATGGCTTTAATCTAATATTCAACAATATTATTGATCTCCTGCATTGATTATTATATGAGAACTGAACTGAGCTGGACGATGACATCACTGTTTTCTCCAGAGTGGGTATATAAATTAACTAAATTCATAACTTTTTTACAACAAAAACTAACCATCACTGAACTTACTTATCTGGACTATGACACTATTTTCTTCTAGAAACAAACTTTGTTGCATTATTTTCCTGTTATCTCTGTAAAGCTGCTTTGAAACAATTTGTATTGTAAAAAGCGCTATATAAATAAAGAAGACTTGACTTGATTAAACTGTGTTACTAAGCTTTCAATATCCTCTTCAGAATCTGTCATAGAATCAGAGGGAAATCTGAACAGCACAGATGATCGCAGAACTGATGACACTGAACAACACTGTAAGTAAAACCAGAGACACTGAGAACGTCACAACATTATTAAAACGTTTATAAAAAGTTTTCTTCCCCTTCCAGATGCTTGGGTTTGGATTGTGGCTCCAGTGGTCCTGATTACATTTATCATGAAAACTCGTCAACATCTGAACAGGAACAAGCAACAATATTCCTACAAAGTAGAGATGGGCAAGAGCGATTGAGTATTCGAATAATAATTTGTGACAGCAGAACTTTTGCTGCTGTATTATACTATAACCTGATTTATAATGGTATTTTTTACATAGTTTATTCATTTTCTTACTGTGTCAGTTTAAATGTTTGTAAATAAATATTTTCCGCAATTTGTTTTGACGGAGATGGTTGGTTGTTTCAATTTTTCAATTCCTCAGAAAGTGCTGTGATTGGTGGGAGGTTTAAACACCAGGGTGAAGGGGGCGTGGCCAGTGGAAATCACCCATGGGTGGAAATAGGAAATAAATCCTAAAGGAAACACTGTATTTATGTGCCATCGCTGAGTATTTTCTCCTTAAAACTGCTGTGAACCAAAGACAGTCTCAAACACACGTTTTGAAATCGCTTTTCTGACGTCACAAAATACCGCAACCAGGGTTTGAAACTAACCGTCATCCCGCCAAATGCGTGTAAAAATCAACTGTGTTTGGTAATGCTATCAAATCACGAGCCAATTTGGCGTGCTATCCATATCTTTACTCACATTGCTGGGGAAGTTCGTGTAAGACAAATCTGTGCAGATTTAGCGCAAATACTCGTGATTCATCATGATATATTAAATAAAGCGTTTTGCACAGAATCTTCTTGAATATAAACGTCACTACACAACAAATAACGGCGCGCTTGTTCATTTGCATTGAAGCAAAAGTGAAAATTAAAAAGCATTTGGTGAACAGAAAAGACATTCTTATGTTCCAACATCCTACATTTTTTATGTTCTTTGTGCTGTATTGATCTGTCCAACTAAAACACATTTTTGGTGATGAGGATGAAAGAGGAAGAGAGGAGATGCTGGATGACTGGATTTTGTTTGATGACAGGAAGTTATTTGGAAATTTCTGGGGGGAAAAAACAAGCGTTCCTTATAAAAACCTTTGCTTTGTACTTGAATGGCATTAGTTAGTCTTGAATGCATAATGAGGGTTAAATCTTGACCACCAATGGCAAAGAAGTTGCAATAAGTAGAAAGAAAAGTGAGTAAATAGCTTTGAATGCTGGCATGGCATTACATAAAAGAATCTGAATCTGAAAGAATCTGAAAAGTGAGTAATTTGGACTCTTGTATATTCAAAACTCGTCCGTTCTTTGGATGAGATGTTAGAAGATGAGATGACTTTCTGTAGACATAAAAAAACATTGCGCTTCTTATAAAGAGTAGGGGTGTATGCCTACTCATTAACATTGTCTTCTAATAATCCGTCTACTGAATCTCTCTTTCTCTCTCTCCACAAAGGTCACAGGTTTGAATCTCAGTACTGGCAGGAACTGTGGGTGGGGGGAGAGTGAATGAATAATGATCTTTTCCACAGTAAAGTCCCACAACTGAGGTGTCGTTGAGCAAAACCAAAAACTGTATCGCTTCCCGGACGCGAAAATTGCTCTCCTTGAAATGGGTGAAATCCAGAGCACAATTTCAATTTCACAATTTCCGAGAATGGGACGCCACGTCATTTCACTTGTTTTGTGGCAGCCATCAGTTATTTAGCCGTAGGACAGTAGCACATAGTAAAGCACTATATAATCAAACTAAGCTTTATTACCAAGTATGTTTACACACACACACACACACACACAAGGACATGGTTTGGGTACCAGAAGAAGCTTCTTTTGTATTAGTACACTTGAATAAACGTATTTTTCGTAAGTCTAGAGGAGTGTTGGGATGATGGTGTTGAAAGCCGAACTGAGGTCCACACATGAGTCCCTGGTTTGTCCAGATGTTGAAGGATATAATGCAGTGTCATGTAGACAGCATCATCCACAGACTGGTTTACTCTGAATGCAAACTGCAGGGGGTCCAGTGATGTTCTTCAGGCCAGCACCAGTCTTTCAAATGACTTCAGGACCACAGATGTTAAGCCAACAGGTCTTTAGTCATTCAGTTCTGTGATTTAAAAAAAAAAAATCACATGTTGT